GGTTTGTTTTGATCCCTCTTTGAGTCCGTTCTAATCTAATAATGGGAATGCTTTTGACGTACCGTGACTCCTACCTAGTTCTGCAAGCGTCAACCGAAACAGTGACTGGTTTGCAGTCAGTCTGTTAGTCAGTCCAGCCAGTTGGCAATCGACATTAGCAGTTAGAAAATGGTTAGTTAATTACTGACAACTACCTGTCTGCGTCAGAGTCAGATCGTAAGTGAAATGGCATATTCATGCTTGATTAGAATGGAAAACTGTGCACCCTGTATTTGCTGTTTTTGAACTTCGCTCCGGTTTTATTTATTGTTTCTAATTGCATCAAACAATAATGAAACAAGTGAGATGCATTGCGTAAAGTCTTTGAGGATCCCAAACAGCTCGGCGGTCGCTCGCTAGGGCGAGCGGCCGTACTTTTTTGTGGTTTCCTGCTGATCGAACATTGCTTATACAATTTTCACTAGTTCGGAGCAAGCACTTAAAAACCAAGTAAGCGTGTATTTGCGCCTGGTCGTTACTTTCATTTCACTTTTTTGCAATCTTTATTATCTAGTCGAGCAAAAACTCATATTGTGATTAAGTCGTTGAAAGTAGCTTTTGTTTATCAAAGTGCTTCTTTGATTGCGCAAGAAATATGCAACAAATTTGAACAAAAAAGTTGAAAAACATCATTTCGTCAAATATGTAGATGTATTTCCCAATAAATTGAAAGATGCAATTTATGTGAAAGGAATTCGCATTAGTTGTTCAGGTTGAAACAATGGTGCAGAGATTGCTAAGATTGAATGCAGAAAATATGGTCAAATTTGTTGTGGAATGTTGACGGTTGTGAGAAGGCTCTGCTGTGAGCCTAATCAGAAAAGAAAGGTTTGTGTTTCTGATCCGGTTGTGGGCTCAGTTAAAGTACTTCGGTGACGGTTTTGGCTGTTAAGTTGAGCCCATAACCTCTCAGACTGTCTGTTGACATTTGACACGACCTACCGTGTTCCCCATACCTTTAAACAACACAATTTAACTCTAATTATCTGGGTTCTAGGTGTGAACGGTCATCTGAGTATTTTACTTTTATTTTATTGGTGTCTTTTCTAATAAATAAATCATTTGTTGTGAGAAGATATTCGTTGGTCAAGGTTGGGTCCATGTGCGATTGGGTGTCAGTCACTGTTGTCAGTCCCTGCGCCTAAAAACGATCCTACGCAGAGATGGGAATTGGTAAGTGACTCCATCAGCGGGAGTTCACAGATCAGCCAGGGCTGACATTTGAAGTACGACCCTGTTGGTTAGTCTTGGCGGTCAGTGCCATTCCCGTGAGCCTGTCAAGTCTGTTAACTTGTTCGGGTTGGGAATCAGCACCACATTCCATATCTGAGTAGACTAGTAAATGGTCTTCAGCCTTTGACCACTTCCGCGTTTATCTTGTTGTTTGAAAAGAACCTTTCGGAATGGATGAAGGGAGTTTAGTCAACGCAGGGAATTGCAAGTTGCATGCCACTGAACTCAAGAGTGGAGAAGTATGTAGAGGCAGCCCGATCGCAGTTGGAGCAGATGGAGAAGCAGAAGGAAAGAAGGTCAAGACATTCCAAGGAAGTGAGGAGGGAAGAACAACCTCCTGGGATGAACGTTTGACTTCGATGGTGACATATTGTCCATCATCAAAACTAAACTTTCCTCCCTTGCAGACTCCTTTGATCGTTTTGTGGCAGTCATTAATCTCTCTCCTTTTTTTTTTTTTTTTGAGTAAGTTTTTTTGTTTGCCAAACATTTTCCAAGATTTGTCGACAAGTTTTAAATTTTGATATGCGCATTTTATTTATCGCAGTTTTTTTTCATCAAATCGCAATTGCCTCTGTATGCGGGAAACTCCTCGAATAGATATAATGAATTTAAAATCTAGATAGTAAGTAATAGTAATTAAATTCAATTAGAGGGCAATCCGCAGGAAACCAACATATGTCTGTGTAGGATCCTCAAAGACTTTACGTGGAGCTACTACTAATTAATAATATAAAAGAAAGACCAATGACTTATGAGTATACGTATGAAAGCTTTAGACGCAAGATATACTCCGTGAGGTGTTACATGGACGTAGATGATACATTCAGGCCCAAGGCCAAGGGCACAATTCTTCGACACAGTTGATCATGATATTATGTATAGTATCATCCAGATAAAGTGACCATATGCTTGGCCGAACCAACCAACCGGATTGGAATCGAAAATCCATATATATATATGCCAGATACATCAGTGGTTCAAGTGGGACTTCGTTATGGTATGATTTTGTTCATTGTGTCAAAAGTAATGTTTTTTTTGGGCTTTCTTTCATTCAAGGCTGGCGCCTACCGTAGAAATTGGAGTTATTTGGCCTCCAAAAGGTATTGATGTGTACTCCCACAATTACTCTTACTCCTACTCCTACTCCTCCTGCTACAGCCCATTTCAATCCAAGGTCCTCTACTGTTGCATCATCCCAAGCCAGTAGCCCCAAAAGCAGACCGGCTACACCTCCAAAGGTGCAGTCTCTGCAGCTTGTGGCAGGGCACCCTGGGACTTCTGAGGCTAAAGTGACTGCAGGCCTAGGTCAGCATAAATCGAGCCGCCCCAAAACAGTCCAATCTGACACAGTCAGTGGGGATAACCCCAAAGTGGATGTAGCAGATTGGACTGACTCGATGAGATGGTACCTCAAGGAACTCACTTGCCCAGAGGTTACCAAGGTGCAGTCCACTGTGGCCCGTTTTGGGAGGGCCTGCACTTCAGTGGGCTACTTATGAGGCCAATAAGGCCCAGAAACAGCTGGACGACTGGGATGTTACAATAGGATTGGACCATATATTTTGGGGCCTGGAGGAGAGGTTCGCCGATCTAGAAAGATCCAAGAATGCTACTGGAGAGCTTGTGAGGATAGGCCAGTCAAAGTGGCAAGGATCCCTCTCCAAGCTCTACGCAGTTTGGGAAAGGCTAACCTCTACACCTGGGTTATCCATGTCAGACCAGGACAAATTGCAGTTGTTTGTCCAGGCTACCCCGGTAACTTATGTACAGGCCCTATTTTCTGCAGGTCACAAGGACTGGAGGGCCTTTGGCAGAGCAGCCTTGGATCTGGAGCCCAAACTCCAAATCTAGTCCACTTCCCAGAGGGGAAAAACCTCCCCTTCTCAGAGTCAGAGGAAGAGCCATGAAGGGCGCGAATCAGGGAGGTGGCACGTGATGGCGTCTGCGAACGACTCTGCAGGATTTGTTCTGAGAGGATTGACTCCCTCAGCTGGTGAAGGTGCAGGAGGCTTCCCAGACCAGGCTTTTCTGACTATGGCTCAGGTGGCGCAAGTCAGCTCCAGAGACAAAGGTCCCCTTCTCCTAGCAGAATCTGCCCAGACGAGCGTCGATGATGAAGATAAACTAGGGGAAGACAATAGGATGGTGGCTAACGGAAGAACCTGTCCCCCAGCTCCAAGGCCCTGAAGCCGACATGACATGGGAAAGGCCGGAGTCCCCCACGAGGTACCTAGGAATTCAAGTAACAAAGGATGGACCGGCACCTCAGATGGCACAGAACCTACTGACCAGCCAAATTAACAAAATGGGGAAATGGAGCCAGACCTTCACATCTCTACGCGGCCGTGCACTAACCATCAACACTTCCATATTCTCTATGATGTGGTACATTACGTCGATCTGGACCATACCTGACCAGGCAATCAAAGATCTGAACAGGAAAACGAGAGCTTATTTATGGTCTGGGGACCCCAACAGTGAGAATTATGTACCAAAGGTTCCGTGGCACTATGTCACGAGGAGACCTTCGCAAGGAGCTTTGGGGATAATAGACCCCAGACAAGAAACAAAAACACTCCAAACCAAATGGATAATTAAACTGCTGACTAAAAAATCACTAGCCTGGAACAAGATGGCTCTGGATAGCATTAGAAGCCTGGCGCCAACGCCATGGCCCCCCAATATGTCAGGTCTATTCTGGGTGATGAACGAAGACTGGAGTGCGAAAACAGGAACGAGTAGGCGAGTGAGAGGAGAACCCCCACGACAGGAGCAAGGTTCCTTGCCCTACTGTACAGCCTTGCTACGAATCTGGAGAGAAATCATGCCAAGAAAGCTAAACAGACCCAAGTCAAAAGAAGTACCCAGACAACCACTCTTTGGAAACCCATGGGTCAGAGACGAAGGGGACCATCCCTGGACTCTACCCCATACGGGCAGCAGGCGGTTAACGTGGATCAAAAATGGGATCTGGAGAGTGAGAGACATAGGACTGGCTGGACAAGGAGGACCTTAAAACCCGGCTGAAAGGCTGTCACCACAGAGATGAAAACTTGCAGAAGATCATACAAAGCATTCCAGACAGTTGGAAATAACTTCTCAATAAGGAATTCACCTGGAAATCAGGGGATCCCCACCCCTGAGGTAAATCAACAACAGTAATTTGTATCTGGCATTTCGTCCTTCATGTTGGGGCCGCATTGGTCTAGGCTTTCGTTGACCGTTTCAGTTTTAATGTACCTCCATCATCCATGAATGATGTTGGGTTATGTTCCTTTCGGTTGTCTCGTTCAAAGAAAGGTTGTGAAGATGAAGCACAACAGTTTGGAAACAAATGTGACACAATCTACCAGCTACAGACACGGGAGCACTTGTGGATTGACCAGGATGTCAAAGAAACACTCAAGAACAGCATGCCCACTTATGGGGCGTCAACTAGGATATCGAAGAAACACCCGGGAATCTACAGATGTTCGTTCATCCTTGATTTGAGCTGTACGACCCGAAGAAGCTACTACAGCTCAGACCGAGCCTCAATCGTTCCTAAGGAGGACTCTCCTATACATCTTCTTGTCTTGCAGCTCTGTCAGTTTCATTTGGTATTTTGTGCTATCACATGTGTTGTGATGCTACTGAAAAATGAGTTCTGCCCGATACAAGCGAAAGACTTCGCCCAGCTCAGTGATCACACGTAACACTCCTTACATGGTTGGTGGGTGTGACAGGATCGCGAGCCCATGCACCTACATTGCGCATCAGGGTGCTTTCGGACTCTCACCCTGCTGCAAAAGAAGCTGCCGAAGTCCAAGAGCGAGCACGGTTGGTCGAGTACAGAAAGCCAAAGCTCTCTGAACTTGATGCTCAGTATGGGAAGGCAGGGGGTTCCCGATGGAAAAGAGGACAGAGGGAGATAGGTGCGGCTATACGTGGCAAACAACCGGACGCAGGCATGATGGAGCCCCGCGAAGAGACAGGGAAAGAAACGCAGAAAGCCTCTGAGGGGGAAGCTGATACGATATCCACGCTTGGACAAGTCACAGAGAAATCTGATAACAGAAATGCCAGTGTCTATGACCTCGTTCAAAGTTTTAGGTCATTTCTTATCACAGGTACACTTCCACTACCTGTTCTGTCTTCTCTTTTGCGATGAGGATCTTGTAGCAACCGCGTGCAGTATCTGTGTGGTTTTGGTCCTTGCCATCTTGTGTGAAGTTTTCATTTTATTAAAATATTAATAAACTTAAATAAAGCCTATTAAAAACTAATAAAAAGCTCAAAAGGACTAAAATACTATTAAAAACAAATAGAGTGAATTGCAGTCCAGGCATTTTAGTACGATCTTCGGTATCATTTGGCCTGTTCTTTTTCCGGATTGCAGAATGCTGATCCTTATTTTTTACCTTTGGCAACAACAGCGACTGTGCGTGAAGCTTGGTCCTTCCCACCATATGTGCAAAAACATTCCCAAAATGCTGCTGAAAATTTGTGGTGAGGCTATCAGAGTTGCCCAGGCCCACCTGCCCAGCCAGGCCATCTGGGCCTGGTCAGCCTTTCAAAAACTCATGGTGACTCATTGGTGAGGCCATTCTCCACCGCTGAGATGTGCCCAAATCCAGCCTCATCTTTGAATTAGGGAGGCTGGAGGATATACAGGCTATTTGAGTGGGTTTAAAGGGGCTTGCTGAGATCCAGCCTCATCTTTGAATTAGGGGGGGCTAGAGGGTATACACCGCCAGTACATCGCCCAGGCAAACTTGAGAATCAAAATCGAGCCACTTCCGGAATTTTGGGGGCCCGGGGCTACCAGACCACCATGGCTGGCGGCACGAGCCAAAAGAGAAACAAAAGTGTGCCACTAGGCACTTTGGCAAAGCTTGGCGCGAGGTGCAAATCTGGCACAGCGAAAAGAGGCTCGGATGTACTGGTCCTTCAGGAGTAAGCGACCGTGTGTCATATATTCTTCTAAAACATTTTTTTTTGTTGTTTTTAAATATTTTTTTAACATTTTTGCAATTTTTTGAATTTTTTTCATTTTTTTTGGACATTTTACAATTCCTTTTCCCTTTTTGTGCTGGGGCAACCTGAGACCTCGCCCGAATCTGGCCCAGCCAAAGGCAAACCAGGTAGCCCAGCGGGTAATTACAGATTCACCTTGTTCTCTGGGTTGCAAATGAGCTCAGACAGCAAACTATAGTCATGACAATGATGATTTTTTTTTTTTTCTTTTTTTTTCATGAAACAGGTCCTTATGGCCCTGGCTCCATTTCCATTCTGGGGAGCATCAGTACGGTTCCTATTCCACCGGCAAGTTAGAATAAAATATTACATCATGAACACACATATGCTTCCTTCCGTCTGGCTGAAGGAACCCTGACCAGCATTGATTACTCCAGCATCGTGGAGGATTGACTGTCAGCTTGCCCTGCTTCTCCCTTTCCTCTCAGGTCCACTATAATGGCCTGTCAGATAAAACATAAATGGCAAGAAAGGGCCTGGACGCTACAAAGGCTGCCAATTCTGTCTAAACTCTGAACCCCGCCCATGTGCCTCGTGAGATCCCTACCAATCTGATCCCTGTTTGCCTTGATTGTCTAAACCCTAAACCCTAAACCCTCGACTAAAGTTTTGAAGAGACTCCTAATTCATAAACCCTAAACCATAGCTAATCTTGTGTATCTTTTCCTAACTATGAAGGCTGTACTTCAGGACTACCACTGTTGCTCTCCTACTCATGCTTTTAAATAGCCACACTTAAGCCCCAAACCCTATCTAAATCCTTTGAGCCTTTGAACCCTAAACCCCTTTTTTTAATCGCTATCCATCTGCTCCCTGCTTATCTTGTTTCTGCTACTACCCTGCCCCTAAACCCTAGACCACCTTAATCTGTTTTTCCATTTATTCCCTGTGAAAACTCTGCTGTCGCCTGCTATAAGCGTCTCTCGGATGTTCATCTAGGCCCAGATTGGAGACGGATCTTTGTGTACCTGAGTAATCATCTGGCCTACAGGCTTGCGGAATTGTGCCTCTTTCCATCTTAAAGCGTGCCCATTTAGCCCAGCCACTTTGTCATCAACCAGCCAGACCCGTCTGAATTTGGCAAGTGTCACCTGTTCTGTCTCTGGACTGTTTTGCACCCGGAGTTTCACCTTCCTCCATCAACATAGGATTTCCGCTTCAATCACCTCTTTGGTTGCCACGCACACTTTCTCCCGTGGGTTCTTCGTGCCATCCAGTGTTCTGCTGCATCTCTCCTTCCAAATGGCCCATAGCGTGATCTTGCGCACCATCCCGAACCAGATTTTCTCTGATTTGCCGAAGTTAGAGGCTAAGTTAGTCCATAGGAGCAGTTGAAGGGGTTGCTCTGGGAGGGGAGATGAGAATAGACTATACCAAAGTGCTGCTGCTCCTGCCCAATGCTTTGTGGCTTCTTTACAGTTAATTAGGCAATGTATCACATCTTCCTGTTGTTGATCAGAGCAGACTGTACAGACATCAGAGCTGGTTGGGTCGTTCTTTCTTTTTCTGACATGTAGCCACTGGTTAACCGGTAGAGCCACATAGGTTATGAGCCATTGCATGCTTCTGATTTTTATAGGTCTTATCGTTTTGTACTTCTTCCATGGGATTTTTGCAATCTGGTCTGCCTCAGAACCAATTAACTTGCTCCATCTTCCTTTGTTTGTTGGGTCTGGGTCCTTTGTTTTTAACAGCATCTTATAATCCAGGTTAACTGTATAATCATATATTGGAATTGGTGGTTTGGCCGTTCTAGCTCTTTCTTTTTTTGGAGAAAAACAGGGCCTTATGCTCCTGGCTCCATATCCATTCTGGGGAGCGTCACTCCGGTTCCTTTTCCACTGGCAAGTCATGAGAATACAACACAATACACACACACACACACACACTCCTCCGTTTGGCCGAAGGACCCCTGAGCAGCATTGATTGCTCCATCTTCATGGAGGATTGACTGTCAGCTTGCCCTTCTTCACGAACTCCTCTCATCTGTGGCGTACCCCAGCTGTCTGTTCCACTTGACGCTCAAGACTTCTGAGAGACGGAGAGACAGTACGAACCCTGTTGCTCTTGTTGTTGGGCCATATCCATGTGCTCCTCTGACATCTTCTGTCATTTTCAGTCCCTGTGCGCTTACATTTAGTTTTTTGAACTTTTCTTTCTTTTAAAAAGGGCGACGGCCTTGACACATACACATACCATCGTGAAAAACAGATCGGCCCCAGGTAATTTAGGAATTTCGTTCATCTGGATTTGAACTTGGGCCTTTATTTCAACAGTTTGTAGGTGTACCGACTGAGCTAGTTTCGTTGGTATGTGCTTGCATTTAGTAATTTACTAATTAGTCTAATTTACTATTTCAGTCTATTTGACCTTTCTTTTTTTTCTGCGAATGTGTGCAAAAATAACAAATTGCAGTCGTGACATTAGTAATTTATGGATTGTTTACCACATTCTCTCTTGATCACAAATGGTAGACCGTAGATCTTGACTCCTGACTGTGATCCGAAATAGCTGATGTCAAACAACTGGCAGCAGCATCGAAATGTGAACTTCACCCTACAGCTCCCAAGACTCATGGCTCCCAGTGTCATCTCACACACAGGCATATGGTAGCTCCTATCAGATCCCCATGCGACTGCCAACAATTTCTCAGGAGGTAAATAAAAATTCACCCCTGTTGTTTAAAAAATAAAAAATAAAAAAATTGACCCCTGTGCAACTGACAATGAGCACTGTGCAGGACTGTTGGACTGAATTGGCAAATGAGAAGCTTCAAACTCTGATGGAATTTTTGGATTGGATGATTTGGATTGGATCGATTTCCTGTGCAGCTGACTACCTGTGTAAACACAGCTGCTGAAGAAACTGTCCTCAAAGACGGGGAGTCTGTATTAGAGTGTATGTGTGACTCGTTAAAATCTGAAAAATTAGGACTAAGTTAAAGATAGCATAATAACTGGAAGAAGAGCTGCAGCAAAGAAACAGCGATACTGAACAATTCAACATAACCTTCTTCTCGCTCTTTTTTCTTGCTTTTTCCCATTTCTCATTGTAAAATCCTGATTTGTGTGTATGTGTGTGTGTGTGTGTGTGTGTGTGTGTGTGTGTGTGTGTGTTCGGAAATGATCTCACAGCTCATCCACCATGTTACTCCACTCTTTCTGTGGTACACCAGGTCCACCCATAGCCCATCACATGCCGTTTTAACTGCCACCCATCCATGCTACCTTGCCAGCTTAAAATGACAGGCCACACACAAACAAACCAAACAGGTAAACCACTGCTGCCACTTTACTTCTCTGAAGCTACCTCGTACGTCCGTGGCTAACCACAACCAGTTTTCTAAGTCCCACATAGGATGGAGGGCATGGGGGAGGCGGGAGGGCAGATGACACACACGGACACCAAGAAGGCAATGAAAAGGCATGACGTGATAAGACATGGGATGACAAACAACAGCGAAGGACAAAGGCTGAAGGGCACAGGGGAGGTGGAAGGGCAGATGACACAAGCACACCAAGCAGGCAGGAGGGCAGGCAACATGCAAGCACACGAAACAGGCAAACAGGAAAAAATACATGTCCCAAAAAATCAGAAGACCGAAAAAAATAAAAACTGATGATAACAAGATTGTTTCGTCGGAGTTGCACCGACTCGTCAGGAGGCTGAACCCTCTGGAGCTCCTCCTCCATCTGCTTCTGTTTAGCCTTTTGCTCCTCCATCAAGGCCAGCATCTTCGCCTGCTTAATAAGCTCCCTCTTCTCCATCCTCTCCTTCTTTTCTCTCAGGATGGCGGCGACTTTCTCTTCTTGCTCTTTGGTGTACGGGGTGGTGCTCTTACCGCTATGCAGGTCAACCATGGTGTCAGATGTACAACCGAGTGACAGTTCCACACCGCACCACTTAGACTTTCACCCCCTAACTGACTTAACCGACTAACTGACTCTTCTAAGGACCACAGAGCCTTACCCTTCGATCCAGCCAAGTTACCACAACCGACGGAAGCTTTCACCACCACTGTCCTTTACAACCAGACCCAGATGCCCTGCACTTGCGGTCAACCCCACTTGGCTTTCTCTCCGGATCAGGACTC